AGATCCAATTTTAAAATTACAGAAAAAATTTATTCGCTTAGCCACTTTTTCAAATCCCCGTGCAAGTAGCTCACAACTCTTTAAAAGATTGGGCATTCTTGATGTGCATAAATTATGCAAGTTCCAAACGTGCATGTTTATTTATGACCTGGGTCATTATGCCTCTTCAATCTCTCACTCTTATTTGACACGTTCAGTTATTTCTGACAAACTTGAAATTCCAAAAGTAAAACTAAGCTCAACTAAAAACAGTTTAACATATTCATTAGTAAAACACTGGAATGATCTTCCAATTTCCATTAAAACATTAACATCAAGAAATCGCTTCAAGCTTACCCTAAAACAATTTCTTTTAAATAATTGAACATCAATTTTATTGTTATTTCTCTATCATTCAATTTACAGTATTGTCATTTCACTATTACCACCATATTTCATATAATTTTTCTCCTTATGTATTATGTACTCTTAAACAATATATTAATATGATTTATGATTTCACTGTCCTTATCAGTTTTTTTCTGCTATCAGTGAATATGCAAGGGCTAGAGACTAGATTAGTTCTACTAGAACTACCTCTCTTGTCCTCGCCAGATAGTTATGTATATCTCTATCTTCGTTTTGTACTTTGTAATGTAATTTATCTGGTGAAATAAAATTGTATTGTATTGTATACATTAGACATTATGGGATCTTTGATACCCATGGTGGCCATTTTGTTTCTAAGAAATACTAAGCATTATACTTTAAATAAACATGTGCACATTTATTAATTTGAGAATACAATATGGTCCAATATATTGGCCATTTTAATGTTTTAAAATTAATTGAATCTGTATTATTACTGACATCACCTTTCTTTCCCTTCTAGGGTTTACTCGCAGATGCACTTGAAATGCCTGGAGTTCAACTTGCCTTTCTTCCTACAATTGATGGATTTTTAATTAAGGAGGATCCCATGGATACCTTTTTTAAAACTAAAACATTCAATGATGTGGATGTGATGTTTGGCACAGTCTCTGATGAAGGAATGATCTTCCTTTTTTCCCTTTTTTCTGATGCAGAAAATGAAGGTCCTCTGATATTAAACAAGACTACATACGATGCAATGTATCCCAATTTTCTTTTTACTATACAGCCAAATGAAGCAGTGTTAGATACAATTAAACTACTGTACGTTGACTGGGCTCATGTTGATGAAGAAAACGCCAATTATTTAGATGCATTAAGCCAGATGGCAAGCGATATCTTCTTTGTATGTCCCATAAACCGTGCAGCACGTGCTAGTGCTGAAGCCGGACTCAATACATACGTATATCAAATGACACATGTACCTGCAATGACAATATGGCCTTTGAAAACTGACACAGCCGTGCATGGTGATGAACTAGGATTTGTTTTTGGTTATCACATGCTTTCCGAGAAACAGATGGCGCTTGGCGGTGATAACACAACCATGTTTAAATGGACTACAAGTGAAGTAGATGCCGAGCTGTCTTTACAAATCATGAAATACTGGACTAATTTTGCTAAAACTGGGTGAGTGCAACCACTTGTTTTTTGTAGGGTTTTGATGCGTTCATAGTACTTCGTCCTATAGTTTACTGTTCTCATACCACTAATAGTCCATATACCCTCAGACAACTAATAAACAGACTGGCAATGCTATTGTGTAGAGTTGTCAATCGGCCTAATCCCCAAGAAGCGTGTGTCGCGGCTATGCTGATGGTCGGCTCACACTTTGCCAAATTTTGCCATATGGCAAGTACACACATCGAGAATCCGTGGTCTCGCATGCATGCATTCTCTGTATTCAGTTCAGATCAGATCACACTGAAACGAGAAAGTTTAACTTTCAGTTGCCCAATAATATTTTTTTTTAGCCAAAATTGATCATATTTTAGGAAAGTAACACTTATTTGAATGCAACATTTCCTGTTGAAAAACTGCAGTATCTCACAAGGTCGTGCATTTTCGCGCGACTTCGTGGACATTTTCTTATCTCCCCCAGTTGTTTATAAGCTTAAAACGTTATCGCAAAAGTAAACACAAGACACAAATTCGATCAAAAGAAATACCTGTGTTGTCAGTCTGTTTATTAATTGTCTGAGATATACAACACCTGTAAATAATTAAACCTGGGTATCGGATAGAAATATGATTAGCTGGTTCACCTTACGTCAGGGAGGTTCTTAGTACGATAGCCAGAGCCAACTGTTTATTCAGCAGTATAAATCATAGTACAGTCTTCCCTACAATGCGATATTATGCTTGGGTTGCATGTCATAGAACTGCAGGTATTTTTCATTGCAACAAAATGTTTCACAAACTAATTCACAAAATTCATGAAAATTTGTTTTTTGTGAAAACAAAGAGGTTTACAGTACTTTTGATAATACTGTTTGTTTTTTTGCATATATATTAACAAGGTGCATATGACAAAAAATAGACATTAAGTAGTTTGAATGAGTATGATCAAAAAATGAACAGGAAGTATTTTTTTACACATACCACATTTATTGGATTATTTTGAAATTTGCCATGTTGCATCTTTATACACATGATTTTGTCACCATTTTGGATTTCAACAAAACGATAGAAATTGTGGTGCATTTGTTTCTCAGGACTGCTTTAGCCGATCAACTGGATATTTGGCATGCAGGTTATATGGCAATAATATGACTTGGCTGCCATCTTGGATTTTGAGCAAATTTGGGGCATTTGTATCTTATGAATTCTCCAACCGATCACTTGGTATTTTGCATGTAACATCTATGACTAAAGCATGTTTTGAAAAAAAATATATCAGAGCGTAGTTATTAAGTCATATTCATACTTAGACTGCTCTGTAGCTTTATTTCAAATTGATTTTAACAAAATTATTTAATATCTATATATTCCAGTAATCCTAATCTCAGTTCACTGAGTGACGAATCAAATGACGATGACTGGCCAATGTTCACCATACCTGGTTTAGCATATAGAGAGTTATCACCATCCATGGTGAATCGTTATGCATTAAAGGCGAGAGAATGTGTATTCTGGGATGAATTTGTACCAAAACTTCTGCAGCCTTCTGGTGAGTTATATTCCTCATTTTTTCACATGGATTATAATAATCACATGGCTTGGTGATTGTTGTAGAGAAATGATACAAGATGGTACAATTATAGTACCGGGGTAGGTTAAATTGATAATCAGTACAGTGTACTATAGACACTCATTAAATTCCTACAACACTCAAAACATAGATCTGTATTATCACATGCATAATTTGTGTTCCATTAAATATCACCACAATGGTACTCACGTTTCACGTTTCAATTTCAATTTATATGTAAACACATACCTCATTTACATAAATTGTTTTTTTTTCTCTCATTAAGGTGAGTCATGTGACAAGAAAGAGGAGTCTAAATACTCCGAAGAAGTCAACCAACCGTGATTGTACAGTAAAAGACAAAAATGAATGTTAAGACCTCATTGAGATTGAGAGAGCTTTGTTTTTGTCTGGAATAGTGTTTTCCTCGTCATCATGTCTACTGTTACTATGGTTACATACATTGTCGATCAGTGGAGAATGAAACACTATCACAGGAGTTACAACAAGTCTCCTTGCTTTCTTGCTTTCAACATGATCTTAACAACCATTCATTTCAAAGGTCAAAGGTGACAACAATGAATGAACATACCAATTATAGTGATATGATATCTGCTGTTAGAATGTGATCTGTGATCTGTATACAGGTGCAGTCTAGCGCCACCTACAGTTGAATAATGTGTATAATAAAAATCTCTTTTTATGTTACATGGATATAGTTGAATGTTAATAGTCCCCATTCGAACGAAGTCTGAAAAGAGGACTTATAATTCGGTCTCCGCCCGTCCGTGCGTCTGTGCTTCCGTGCGTCTGTGCGTCCGTCCGGAGTCATATCTCAGAATCCCTTGGACCGATTCCGATCATTCTTTGCATGTGCTTAGTACTTTATGTGGGACATATGCACATGCAGTGGTTTAGCGATTCGATTCAAAATGGCCGACTGGCAGCCATCTTGTTTTTTGAAAATGTTGTATTTTGGACATGCTTTGTCAGTTTTCATTCAAATTTAGTACATAGATCATACATGTTAGGGTACATGTCCCCGACCATTCGTGAGTTCCTGAGTCCGTCCGTGTGTCTGTCCGTCCGTGCATCACTCTGTCCAGAGTCGTATTTCAGAATCCCGTGGATCGATTCCGTTCATTCTTTGCATGTGCCTAGTACCGTATGTGGGACATGTGCACATGCAGTGGTTTAGATGATTTGATTCAAAATGGCCGACTGGCAGCCATCTTGTTTTTTGAAAATGTTGTATTTTGGACATGCATTGTCAGTTGTCATTCAAACCTGGTACATAGATTATACATGTTAGGATACATGTCCATGGCGATTTATTTCGCAATTGGATCAAAGATGGTCGACTGGCAGGCATCTTGTTTTTGTTTTTTTTTATGTGGTATCTTGGACGTGCCTTGTCAGTTTTCATTCAAATTTGGCACATACATGTACTTTATACATGTTAGGATGCATGTCCATGACAATTTGTTTCAAAATCTGGTCAAGGATGGCCGATTGACAGCAATCTGACTTTTTGGCCTTACTACTATATTTCCACAATTTATGTACCATTTTCATTCGTATTTGGCACATACATCATACATATCAGTGTGTTTCATAATCAGATCAAAGATGGCTGAATAACGGCTGTTTTTATTTTGGCTATATTACTATGACACGAAACAAGTGTTTTGATGTAAATAAACAATCTGTTGTATACGCCACTTAGAACTCAAGTTTCAAGGACACGCTCGCGACAACCCCTCCGCTTTAATATGACGAGCACAAAGAGAACTTAACAGGGACTGTGTCATTTTCAATGACTTGTTCTATATACAATAATGAGCAATATTTAATAAAGTTATAATTAATAAACTATTAATGAACTAGATAGTATCTAAAATAAATTTGTCTGTTATTCGTCTAATAAAGGGAGACTAGCGTACGACAGAAATTAATTCATAAACTGTTGACTCATTCAGAACTTGTTGATAAAACTCCTTATCCAAAGGTAACTTGTATTCCTTGAACCCTTTAGGTAGTGTGGCTTGTTTACTGACACAAGAACTACTAGACCGCGCAATACCCTTGGATTGTGTATCCATTTGTGTAAAGCATGAAGCGCTGCATGACTATGTGTAGTATAATGTGCAAACTACTTGCTTTGAGGAAAGAAATGTAACATCAGATAGACTAAACACTTCTCTTCATTTTTGTATGTCACTCTAAAAAATGGGACATTTGACCTATTAAATATTTGTTTTATGGACAACAGCATAAAATAAACATGTTGTAAAAGTCAGAGAAATGTCATGATCTTATTTAACCCTACCAATGCTTTAATGTTAGCTCATGCTCATTAATTTTTTTTCCAGAGAAAGATTGTTTTAAAAAAATAGAAAAATTGACATGGTAATCCTATGGTAAATAATGCAATATTTTATGTATATTAATTATATTATATATTAATTGTGTGAATTTCTCTGTAATTCAGTTAATCATAATTATGATTACATTGAAATCTTTTACCATATGGTCCAGATAGGGCTTTGGCTGGCTGTATACACTGTTGAAATACAGCCCAGACCCTAAAAGTAAAGTGTATATTTCGGTATACTAACTGGCCCTTGATACTGGCTGGAAGAACAAAATAAATTCTTCAATTTTGGCCAAACAAAATACCTTCAAGGGATGATTACACTTTTGGTCACTCAACAGCAACAATATATTTTCCCCCATGTACCATGTAATTTTTGCCAGACTTAGTCTACTCTAGAATGATGAAATGATACTGTCTAGTGTTTTCTGGGAAACCCATTGTTACTGATTTGTTCATAGCTAGAAGCCTGCCTAGAACTCTGAATATCTTTTGAATTCTGTGTCTCCACAACCCGCTAGCACCTTGACAGGGAGCATAGGTTTATGAAACTCGTAATTTGTATTATAACTACAACTTGACGTACAAATCTTTTTCATTTTAAATAAATAGTTTATTATGTGACTAACATACATTAATACACCAAGATATGCATTTATTATGTTTATTAACGTGTACCTTTGCAAATTAGTTAGCTAGTTTGCTAATTAGGTATCAAATTTAATAGTCATCTTCCAAACCATGAGTTCCATGCGCACATGTCCCACCAATAAATTAAAAAAAACATGGGGAAATTGTGCATTTAGATAATATATTATAAGTCCATTATAGACTATAATCTATATTTGTCTTTTTCCAATAAGAAATGGCAGTCTGATAGCAAACATTTGGTTGTGAACTTTTAGAAAAATATCAAATCAACACTGCATTATAGTAAATACCTCTATTCCAAAACATATGTAATAATTACCGGTAATAGTTGCAATGTTGAAGTCAAAAGAACACCAAAAAATCACAACTACAGTAAATTTAAATGACCTTGTGTTTAGAATACTTGCAGTATGGTAATAATGCATTTCATTAAATTGACAACTTGAATAGAAATTATAAATTAGATATGTGTAAATAAATTAGAGACAAGCATTGAATGTGAATGTGAAATTGACATATCATTAAGTTTAATTTATAGTCTTTATTTAACTACATGTGATGAAATAAATGTATTCATGGTTCCATTCAGGTTTTATTCAAATCTGTTTATTCAAGTGTGGGATCTGCCAATTCAGTTGTGAATTAGTAGTTTGTTCATTCATCCAAGAAAAATGATCCACAATGTGTGTAGTACAGTACTGAACTTGTAGGAAGAAAAGTGGCTACATGGTGGCTATTTTGTATTTGATAACCAGAATTTACAAAATAATATTTTTATCTTGCGGTGTCAAACTTAATTCTCGCAAATATTGACATGCCTGAACTATACTGAGGAAGTGTTTGAGACCGTGGTTAAAGGGTGGGATGGTGCGTGTGTAATTTGCAAATGGACGTCATTAACCTTTTCACAATCAAAGTAAATGTTTGGTGCTTTTCAGTTAATAATTTCTCCCCTATACTTGCCAATGGGTAATGTATCTGTTTAGATCAAAATGAACAAATTATGAAAAGTGTAACATGTTGAGAGGAAATATTCTGGAATTGTTTTGTCTTTTATGTTTATAACTCAGTACTTGTGTTATAATCTACAATCATTTTATAGACTTATCACTAAACAATATTATAAAGTTAATTTTAATCTGATTCTGGTTTTTGAATTTTTATAGTTAAAAAAAAATTAGCACATTGTTTTTTTTAATTTTTTTTTATTAATTTTATATTTTTCCTCAAAAAATTTGGTGCAATATTTTGCACATTTTTTGTTTATCTATAACAAATTTGCTTGTTTAATTTAAGATGACATAAGTTGACTTTTGGTTCAAAGCGGTTGTTAGGTATATTGTGTTATTTACATTGTGAGCAACTTTGCAATGTACATTGTTATTTTGTTAACAACATTGCTATATAGCTAGCAGTATTAATCAAAACATTGTAACCAAGTTTGTTTATCACACATAAAGCTGTGCCTTGTATTAATCATTCCAGGTAAATTGCTGAAACACCGTCTAGATTACATAGTTTCTAATCAGTGGCCTGCCTCTTACAGGCAAGGATACAAACACACATTCCATGTATTGGAAAAATCACTGGAGCTGATCTGTGTATGATACAGGGACATGAACTTGGATGATCCATTTTTTATGCACAACTTGTGGCACTGCATAAAACAAAGGTAGAAAGCAGAAGCTTTCAAAGGAATAACCTGATTTCAAAACTGTTTCCATTTCTGGTCAAAATGCTTATTTAATCCGGTGTATGGTGTCACTGAAATTATAGTGATATGTACCAGGATGTTTAGTAGATTATTCTCTTGATAAATATAATGTTACCAATAGTAACAAATAGAAAATTTCACGTCAGTAGTATTATATTATATTACTATTAATATTTTATATTTGTACAAATAATATGCAACCCACACAAAGCTTTTACAACTTAGGGAATAATCCTCTTGTAATATGCATACATTTCTGATTGGTCCATTCATGACTGGCCATTCTGTGATATCCAATCCGCATTTAGTTATAAATAGATGCATAAATATTATAATGCGATAGCAGACAAATAAGTACTGGCAATACTATTGATAATTATAAGTCTATTAGGTCAGTACACAAATGTATTTAAAATGAAGAGATATTTCTGGTTGTTCTAATTTTATTGTTTATTATGGTAACATGGTTTTATAATGATACAGTTTGTATAAATAGTACAGGGGGGGGGAGGTATTACAAAATTCTATTGTTCAACTGTGAACTGCAAAATGTGTATGCCAAAAATTATGTATTTGAAATGTACATATTGGTCATTGCTATCTGAGCATGTTATTTTTCTTATGTGTAGGAGTATATGTGGGTGATTTATTTATTGCATTGTTATGTAAATTAGATGTTAAGACACATGTGCACAACACTATGATACAATGTATGATTGAAATCAATGACTGTAAATGCAGTGGGTTTCTTTATCTGTAGTAGCTGACAATTCTCCAAAATATCAAAAGAAATTTGTTAAAATTACATTACTATGTACATGATGTAATATGGGAAAGGTTTCCCATTTCATGATTTCTTTTTCTCAAAAAAAACATCCAATGACCCCCCCCCCATCCCGAGCATATGTGTTTTGCAGTGATGTACCAGTTGTAGTATTAGAAAATAAATTGTTGATGCAAAAGT